TGATAAAATTAATAAATGTGGAGCCAGATTATGTAAATTCAAATAATAAGAAATCGTTACATATATACCTGTCCCTATATCGGTCTCCCCAATCACTCCAACCATCAGGAATTACATCGATATCAAACTCGCTATACGCAAATATGATACGCGAATAGTTTCCCCAAGCCCGGGCCAGGTAAACGGGCCCATCCCCAGTCACCGTGCAGTTCACAAACGAGTAGCCCGTGTCTTCATTTGCCGAGTCTCGACTCTGGGCTACTATAGCATATGGATTCTCCCCCACAGAGATGTTACATCCCTGTTTCAAATTTCATACATTACCAAAAAAATATATATATATATATATATATTAAATTACATTTTACTTGGTAAATTTGTGTAGTTTTGGGCACCTGGTAGAGTGATGTTGCATATCCAAATATGAAATCCACCGAGCCATGGATAAAACACTCGAGAAAATAGTGTGTCCCATATTCGTCGAGAAGCGTGTCCTGTGAGCCTAAGAACCGGACTTTGTAAAACATACTTCTATTGCTCGATAGTCTTAGAGCTACCGCTTGATATCCTTCACTAGCTGTCCCATTACATTGTATTGAATTCTGCCAAGACCAGTCCTCAGAAAACAGAGAAACCAAATAAATAAATAAATAAATAAATAAGAGAATTAGCGGGAATTAATTCAGGTTATTTTTTTTATTTTTTTTTATGAATAAATCACCTCAATAGTGACACGAGATGCGCAAAAGTAATTTGATTCGACAGTGACAGTAGCCGAATTCCAAGTTCCCACAACACTTCCATTTTTGTCTCTGTCTGAGGCTTTGCTGTGCCAAGTTATAACTGTTTGGTCGCTCTTGTTTTGGTCCCCAATAAATGAAATATACGGTTTCGATAAAGGGATATGGACTTTTTCCCTGTGGTCCGAATATATTCAACCAACAAACAAAACATTCTTCAAGAAAAAGATAATAATAATAATAATAATAGTGTTTTCAATTTTATATATGAACCTGTAAATTCCGGGAAGAATATGGATTTTTACTCTCTGGGAATTATTCTCCGGCACCATGTCCACGGCGCCTTGTACGGTCAAAGAATCTCCTCCGCCTTTATTGTTGACCACGATTATCCTTGTCTGGTTCTGATCTCCATAATCGGCACTCAACCAAGATTCGTTGCTACTCAGAGTCACATCGTCCCATGTTATGTAATAATTATCACCGCTATCGGATTTCGCAGTACTAGATTGATTTTCGACGGAATCAATTAAAAGAATAACAAAAATGAACAAACCCCAAAAACTCAACATTGGCTTTATTGTATGAAAACTAGAGAGTAAAAGTACTAATTTGTATGCTTGTATGTTATTGGATATGGATTTTTATGGCAGGAATCTGGGTTTGATAGTGGGTGTGTGTGTGTTTGTGTTGTGCGTAAAATTAATTTTTGTAACCTAGTGGCATTTGGTAACCTAAATCATGCATGGACGTGCATGTTACATTCAACTTATCAACTGATTTTAAAGCACAAGTGATTGGGGATGAAAAAGAACAAAAAATAATGGGGTATATTAATGAGAGAAATAATCATCATCTCTTCAATTTTTCTTATTGTAATCAATTGATTTTTGATAATTGACATTTGACACGATCAGAGGATGGGTATATTGGGACAAGAATCTCAAGGTTTTATTGGAAATGATTCATTGTATGGGAT